GAATCTTATGGGACTCTGGTGTTTTATTTTTAGAAGATTTTTTAAGATTTTTAGGAGGCTGTGGTGTTTCATTTTTAGGAGAAATTGACAGAATCTCATGGGCTCCTAGTGTTCTATTTTAAGAGGATGTGGAAGTTTTATTTTTATAACAATTTGAAAGAATCTCGAGAGTCCTTGGTATTCTATTTTAGAAGTAGTTGATAGAATTTCGGGGCTTGTAGTGCTTCTATTTTTAGAAGCTGTTGAAAGAATCTCGGGGCTCCCTGTTGTTTTATTTTTGGAAAAATTTGAAAGAACCTTGGGTGGGCATGGTGTTCTAATTTTGAAATAATTTTTAAGAATCTTCAAGGCCTCTGGTCGTGAATTTGAAGGAATCTCAGGGGGTCATGTTTATTATACATATTTGAAAGAGTTTTATCGAATCTCGGGGGCTCTTCGTGGCTCTGTTTATAGAAGAATTTGAAAGAATCTTAGGGGTTCTTGGTGTTGAAGAATATAAAAGAATGACAAGGCCCCTTATTTTATTTTTGTAGGGATTTTAAAGAACCTTGGAGGTTTTTAGGGGGTTCTGGTGTTTCATTTTCAGAAGAATTTGGCAAAATCTCGCAGCTTCTAATGGTTCTATTTTTGAAAGAAGTTGAAGGAATCTGAAGTTTTATTTTTGAAATAATTTGAAAGAATCTCGATGGTTCTTGGTGTTCTATTTTTAGAAGTAGTTGATAGAATCTCGGGAGTTTTTAGTGGTTCTATTTTTAGAAGATTTTGAAAAAATCTCGGGAGGCTTTGTTCCAAATTGAAATAATTTTTAAGTATTTCCGGGGCGCTTGGTTTTGTATTTTTAGTAGAATTTGAAAGAATTTCAGAAGCTCGTAGGGTTATATTTATAGAAGAATATAAAAGAATGACAAGGACTCCGGTTGTTTTATTTTTGAAAGAATTTTAAAGAATCTTGGAAGACCCTGGTGTTTTATTTTTAGAAGAATTTTTGAGATTTTAGGAGATTCTGCTGTTTCATTTTCAGAAGAATTTGGCAAAATCTCAGGGGCTTCTAGTGGATCTATTTTTAGAAGAAGTTGAAGGAATCACAGGTGTTACTGAAGTTTCATTTTTGAAATAATTTCAAAGAATGTCGATTCTATATTTAGAAGAAGTTGGTAGAATCTCGGTGGTGTTTAGTGGTTCTATTTTCAGAAGATGTTGAAAAAATCTTGGAGGACCCTGTTGTTTTATTTTTACAACAATTTTTGAGATTTTAGGAGATTCTGCTGTTTCATTTTCAGAAGAATTTCGCAGAATCTCGGGAGCTTCTAGTGGATCTGTTTTTAGAAGAAGTTGAAGGAATCACGTGTGTTACTGAAGTTTTATTTTTGAAATAATTTGAAAGAATGTCGAGGGTTCTTGGTATTCTATTTTTAGAAGAAGTTGGTAGAATCTCGGGGGTGTTTATTGGTTCTATTTTCAGAAGATGTTGAAAGAATCTTGGAGGACCCTGTTGTTTTATTTTTACAAGAATTTTTGAGATTTTAGGAGATTCTGCTGTTTCATTTTCAGAAGAATTTGGCAGAATCTCGGGGGCTTCTAGTGGATCTATTTTTAGAAGAAGTTGAAGGAATCACGGGTGTTACTGAAGTTTTATTTTTGAAATAATTTGAAAGAATGTCGAGGGTCCTTGGTATTCTATTTTTAGAAGAAGTTGGTAGAATCTCGGGGGTGTTTAGTGGTTCTATTTTCAGAAGATTTTGAAAGAATCTTGGAGGACCCTGTTGTTTTATTTTTACAAGAATTTTTGAGATTTTAGGAGATTCTGCTGTTTCATTTTCAGAAGAATTTGGTAGAATCTCGGGACTTCTAGTGGATCTATTTTTAGAAGAAGTTGAAGGAATCGCGAGTGTTACTGAAATTTTATTTTTGAAATAATTTGAAAGAATGTCGAGGGTCCTTGGTATTCTATTTTTAGAAGAATTTGGTAGAATCTCGGGGGTGTTTAGTGGTTCTATTTTCAGAAGATGTTGAAAGAATCTTGGAGGACCCTGTTGTTTTATTTTTACAAGAATTTTTGAGATTTTAGGAGATTCTGCTGTTTCATTTTCAGAAGAATTTGGCAGAATCTCGGGGGCTTCTAGTGGATCTATTTTTAGAAGAAGTTGAAGGAATCACGGGTGTTACTGAAGTTTTATTTTTGAAATAATTTGAAAGAATGTCGAGGGTCCTTGGTATTCTATTTTTAGAAGAAGTTGGTAGAATCTCGGGGGTGTTTAGTGGTTCTATTTTCAGAAGATTTTGAAAGAATCTTGGAGGACCCTGTTGTTTTATTTTTACAAGAATTTTTGAGATTTTAGGAGATTCTGCTGTTTCATTTTCAGAAGAATTTGGTAGAATCTCGGGACTTCTAGTGGATCTATTTTTAGAAGAAGTTGAAGGAATCGCGAGTGTTACTGAAATTTTATTTTTGAAATAATTTGAAAGAATGTCGCGGGTCCTTGGTATTCTATTTTTAGAAGAATTTGGTAGAATCTCGGGGGTGTTTAGTGGTTCTATTTTCAGAAGATGTTGAAAGAATCTTGGAGGACCCTGTTGTTTTATTTTTGCAACAATTTTTGAGATTTTAGGAGATTCTGCTGTTTCATTTTCAGAAGAATTTGGCAGAATCTCGGGGGCTTCTAGTGGATCTATTTTTAGAAGAAGTTGAAGGAATCACGGGTGTTACTGAAATTTTATTTTTGAAATAATTTAAAAGAATGTCGAGGGTCCTTGGTATTCTATTTTTAGAAGAAGTTGGTAGAATCTCGGGGGTGTTTAGTGGTTCTATTTTCAGAAGATATTGAAAGAATCTTGGAGGACCCTGTTGTTTTATTTTTACAAGAATTTTTGAGATTTTAGGAGATTCTGCTGTTTCATTTTCAGAAGAATTTGGCAGAATCTCGGGGGCTTTTAGTGGATCTATTTTTAGAAGAAGTTGAAGGAATCACGGGTGTTACTGAAGTTTTATTTTTGAAATAATTTGAAAGAATGTCGAGGGTCCTTGGTATTCTATTCTTAGAAGAAGTTGGTAGAATCTCGGGGGTGTTTAGTGGTTCTATTTTCAGAAGATGTTGAAAGAATCTCGGGGCTCCCGGTTGTTTTATTTTTGGAAAAATGTTGAAGAATCTTGGAGGACCCTGGTGTTTTATTTTTAGAAGAATTTTTGAGATTTTTAGGATTTTCTGGTGTCTCCTTTTCAGAAGAATTTGGCAGAATCTCGCGGGTTTCTAGTGGTTCTATTTTCAGAAGAAGTTGATACAATCTGGTGAGCTCCTGTAGTTTTATTTTTGGAAAAATTTGTAAATATTTGGGGTGGGGGGAGACTGGTGTTTTCATTTTGGAATAGTTTTTAAGAATCTTCAGAGCCCCTGGTGTTATATTTTTAATAGAATTTGAAAAAATCTAGAGGGTTCCTGGTGTTATATTTATAGAAGAATTTAAAAGAATGACAAGGGCGCCTTTTTTTATTTTTGAAAGAATTTTAAAGAATCTTGGAGGACCCTGGTGTTTTATTTTTAGAAGAATTTTTGCGATTTTTAGCTGATTCTGATGTTTCATTTTCAGAAGAATTTGGCAGACTCTCGGGGGCTTCTAGTATTTACATTTTCTGAAGAATTTGATAGAATCTCGGGGGTCCTGTACTTTTATTTTGAAAAATTTGGAAGAATTTCGGGAAGGGGCTGGTGTTCTAATTTTAAAATATTTTTTAAGAATCTTCGGGGCCCTTAGTGTTGTATTTTCAGTAGAATTTGAAATGATCTCAGGACTTCGTGTTTTTTTTTATTTGAAAGGGTTTTATAGAACCTCGGGGGCCCCTAGTGGCTCGATTTATAGAAGCATTTGAAAGAATCTCGACAGCTCTTAGTGTTATATTTATTGAAGGACTTGAAGGAATGACACGGGTCCCTGTTGTTTTATTTTTAAAAGAATTTAAAAAAACCTGGATGGACTCTGGTGTTCTATTTTAATAAACTTTGCCATTTTTGGTAAAATTTTACTACTTAATTATAGTGAATGCTATATAAACTATAATTATCAAATAAGAGAATTATCTACTTTTTAATTTTTCTTTTCATCACTCTTGTTTATTTTAACTTGGAGATAGGTAGATTTAAGTGACAAGAAAACTATTAATTTGTCAATTTATCGTAATCATTTGGGTGTTTGGTTTTATGTTATCAGCAAGATATTGTGAAATTAGTTGAAAGGAGATAATAGATGTATAATTTCTTTGAATTTCGCATATAAAGAACACATTGACTGAAATTATGCAGTTCATTTCCATTGTTAATGAAGACCTTTATTGTGTAAATTTTAAAATCCGCTCTTATTTTAATCAAAGCAAAATAAGAAAATAAAGTTATACTTGTTGGTGTTTTTTTACGATTGTGAATTGCGCCACTAGTGTTAATATAATTCGGTTACAACCTAACCGCAAGCCATAAAATATGTCAGCACCGTAGCCTCCATAATCAGCCCTGAAAGCCCGTCACATCCAATCGCCTCCCGAATAAATGCAAAAACCAAGAAAGCTTTATTTTAACTCCACCTTACTACACGTATCGAATTAGCGCCCCTTTTAAAATCCCCCACGACATTCTAATTAACTGCATTAGCACCTGACCCGGTAAAACTCACCCCCGAAGAGACCACCCCCAGAAGCTCTTGTCAGCAAATTAGATTACCCAGTAAGAGAGCCCCTCACTAATAATCTATGCGTCGAACTATTCTCATCATTCAATAATTAATCACCTAATTCAAATAACGCGCCCGGGCCCAGCTTGCACAAACCTGTGTCAAGTTTACACAACTCAACTATCCCTTTGTCCAATTAACAGAAAGCGGTGATTTCGTTTCGACGTGAAACACGAAACTCGCGTCGTGCGATAATGAAACACAAGAACTTGAAACATTTTAATCTGTTGCTTTCTATTGATTGGTCGAGGAGCGTCCTACGTCATTTTCGTTTGGCGTATGGTTGGCGGGACGCAGAGCGCCGCGACGTTCATATAAAACTGAAATCACTTCACACTTGCCTCATTGTAGTACGTGCGTCCCATCCTCGTGGTCCTGACACCCAGCAAGGTAAGGGCGCTCTGGTTTTTTTGTTGTTAGAGCGGAGTGCGTTTTTATGAATGGAGATTAGCGTGGAAATTAGGCTCGAGTCGGTCCTGCAAAGTGGGTTCTAATGGGGCATGATTGGGTTTTTTACGGGGAAAACGATGGATGACGAAGATTGACTCATCAGAATTCTTGTTGTTTTCTTTTGATGTGAGAACTTTTTGCGGATGGCGGAGGCGCCGGGTTATTGCATTTTTTGTCTGGTGGTGTTTTTCGATGGGGATTTGAGGCGTCATCTTTGAAGCGCAAATTGAATTAGGGGGTAGTTTTTTGGAAGCGGCGATTTAGTTTTTGGATGTTTATTAGAAAATTTTGGGAGGGATGGAATTTATGTGAAGCGGTTTTCGAAATTTATAGCTTATAAATAAATTTAGGTTGATGCTTTTGGAACGTTATTTTATGTGTTACTTTTATATTTATGGCAATATTTAATAATCCAATATAGTAATAATTTGTTTTTGAAATTTATTCTAAATACGTGTCGCATTTATCATTTAGTACATTTTTAAACGCCGGAAAAAAATGCTATTAAGTGCAGCGTTGAGATACAAAAACTATAATAATTAATTAATATACATGTAAGTTTTAATATATTATGTAAAATTTTAAACAGTGTTTTTCTAAATATGATCGATTTATCTCTATTCATTTACTGCAGTGAAAAGAACTCAATTAAGTCGCACGTCATAAAAAAGTTACGCAGAGTAATAGCAAATTGTGTGTTTAGATATTGCCGTATTTGTTTTTCGAAGCTTTCTGTTATTTCAAATTTTTAAATCATAATACTACATAGTCGTCTCATAACTGCATTGTCCTCTTCTTTTCCTTCACTATTATTTCTGAAAAATTAAACTCTCGTTGGATTTAAAACACTTTCACACTCCTGTATGATTCTTTACTTCTAGAGATTTACTTTAAAAATTTTGGAAATTTTATAGATTGTATAAATTTTAAAGCCACAAATATTTTATGAATTGTAAAGATTTTAGGCAACGCAAGACTTCAAAACAGTTGTAAAAATTTTTAAGATTTTCGAAATTTTATGACTTTTGGACATTTTTGGTTTAGAAATTCTATACACTTTTATCATAAAGAAAATGTATGAACTATGGACGTTTTTGCGAGATCAGACCATTAGAAAAATTATAATTTCAGAGTAGTTGTAAAAGTTCTAGAGACTTTCAAAAATGTTGAATTTTAGAGATTCTACTCGTTCTCGAATTTTACAGATTTTTACGATTCACGTGTCATAGATTTTAAAAACTTGAGAAATTTTAGGAATTTGTAAATTTTTAAGACCCTCAATACACCACAAATTGTTGAGATTTAGAATTCAGAATTTTAACCAATTTTACAAGTTTTTAAGTTTGAGAAAATTCTATAGTCATGAATTTTGGGAATTCTTGGAATATCAGACTTTTAATTTTCGGGTAGCTTTAAAGGTTATGCAAATTTTAGGAAATGTTGAATAATAAAGATCTAATCCATCCAGAATTTTACAGTTTTTAAAGATTTTCCATTTCATAGTGTATAGAAATTTGGAAATTTTCTAGAAAGTATAGAAATTTTAGAGAATTTAGAACTTGAAACAAATGTAAAAATCTTAAGATTTTGCAAATGTATGAATTTTGGACATTTTTTCAAGATCAGACGTTTAAAAAAATTATAATTTCAGAGTAATTGTAAAAGTTCTGGAGACTTTAGAAAATGTTGCATTTTGAGATTCAACTCGTTCTCGAATTTTACAGATTTTTAAGATTCACTTGTCATAGATTTTAAAAACTTGAGAAATTTTAGGAATTTGTAAATTTTTAAGATCCTCAATACACCACAAATTGTTGAGATTTACAATTCAGAATTTTAACCAATTTTACAATTTTTTAAATTTGAGAAAATTTTATAGTCATGAATTTTGGGAATTCTTGGAATATCAGACTTTTAATTTTCGGGTAGATTTAAAGGTTATGCAAATTTTAGAAAATGTTGAATAATAAAGATCTAATCCTTCTAGAATTTTACAGTTTTTAAAGATTTTCCATTACATAGTGTTTAGAAATTTGGAAATTTTCTAGAAAGTATAGAAATTTTAGAGAATTTAGAACTTGAAACAAATGTAAAAATGATAAGATTTAGGAAATGTATGAATTTTGGACGTTTTTTCAAGATCAGACGTTTAGAAAAATTATAATTTCAGAGTAATTGTAAAAGTTCTGGAGACTTTAAAAAATGTTGAATTTTAGAGATTCTACTCGTTCTCGAATTCTACAGATTTTTAAAATTCACGTGTCATAGATTTTAAAAACTTGAGAAATTTTAGGAATTTGTAAATTTTTAAGACCCTCAATACACCACAAATTGTTGAGATTTAGTATTCAGAATTTTAGCCAATTTTACAATTTTTTAAATTTAAGAAGATTTTATAGTCTTCAATTTTGGGAATTCTTGGAATATCAGGCTTTTAATTTTCGGGTAGCTTTAAAGGTTATGCAAATTTTAGGAAATGTTGAATAATAAAGATCTAATCCTAGAATTTTACAGTTTTTAAAGATTTTCCATTTCATAGTGTTTAGAAATTTGGAAATTTTCTAAAAAGTATAGAAATTTTAGAGAATTCAGAATTTGAAACAACTGTAAAAATTTTATGATTTAGAAAATGTATGAATTTTGGACATTTATCAAGATCAGACGTTTAAAAAAATTATAATTTCAGAGTAATTGTAAAAGTTCTGGAGACTTTAGAAAATGTTGCATTTTGGGATTCAACTCGTTCTCGAATTTTACAGATTTTTAAGATTCACGTGTCATACATTTAAAAACTTGAGAAATTTTAGGAATTTGTAAATTTTTAAGACCCTCAATACACCACAAATTGTTGAGATTTAGAATTCAGAATTTTAACCAATTTTACAAGTTTTTAAGTTTGAGAAAATTTTATAGTCATGAATTTTGGGAATTCTTGGAATATCAGACATAATTTTCGGGTAGCTTTAAAGGTTATGCAAATTTTAGGAAATGTTGAATAATAAAGATCTAATCCTTCTAGAATTTTACAGTTTTTAAATATTTTCCATTTCATAGTGTTCAGAAATTTTGAAGTTTTCTAGAAAGTATAGAAATTTTAGAGAATTTAGAACTTGAAACAAATGTAAAAATGTTAAGATTTAGGAAATGTATGAATTTTGGACATTTTTCAAGATCAGACGTTTAAAAAAATTATAATTTCAGAGTAATTGTAAAAGTTCTGGAGACTTTAGAAATTGTTGAATTTTAGAGATTCTGCTCGTTCTCGAATTTTACAGGTTTTTAAGATTCACGTGTCATAGATTTTAAAAACTTGAGAAATTTTAGGAATTTGTAAATTTTTAAGACTCTCAATACACCACAAATTGTTGAGATTTAGAATTCAGAATTTTAACCAATTAAAATTGTAAGTTTGAAAAAATTTTATAGTCATGAATTTTGGGAATTCTTGGAAAATCAAACTTTTATTTTTCGGGTAGCTTTAAAGGTTATGCAAATTTTAGGAAATGTTGAATAATAAAGATCTAATCCTTCTAGAATTTTACAGTTTTTAAATATTTTCCATTTCATAGTGTTTAGAAATTTTGAAGTTTTCTAGAAAGTATAGAAATTTTAGAGAATTTAGAACTTGAAACAAATGTAAAAATGTTAAGATTTAGGAAATGTATGAATTTTGGACATTTTTTCAATATCCGACGTTTAAAAAAATTATAATTTCAGAGTAATTATAAAAGTTCTGGAGACTTTAGAAAATGTTGCATTTTGAGATTCAACTCGTTCTCGAATTTTACAGATTTTTAAGATTCACTTGTCATAGATTTTAAAAACTTGAGAAATTTTAGGAATTTGTAAATTTTTAAGACCCTCAATACATCACAAATTGTTGAGATTTAGAATTCAGAATTTTAACCAATTTTACAATTTTTTAAGTTTGAGAAAATTTTGTAGTCATGAATTTTGGGAATTCTCGGAATATCAGACTTTTAATTTTCGGGTAGCTTTAAAGGTTATGCAAATTTTAGGAGATGTTGAATAATAAAGATCTAATCCTTCTAGAATTTTACAGTTTTTAAAGATTTTCCATTTCATAGTGTTTAGAAATTTGTAAATTTTCTAGAAAGTATAGAAATTTTAGAGAATTTAGAACTTGAAACAAATGTAAAAATGTTAAGATTTAGGAAATGCATGAATTTTGGACATCTTGCAAGATCTGACGGTTAGAAAAATTATAATTTCAGAGTAGGTAGTTGTAAAAGTTCTGGAGACTTTAGAAAATGTTAAATTTTAGAGATTCTATTCATTCTAGAATTTTACAGATTTTTAGGAAAAATTTGGGAAATTTTATGGATTTTGTAAACTTTTCAGACCCTAAATTTTCCATAAACTGTAGAGGTTTTAGAGAATTCAGAATTTTATTGAAAACATTTTATAATTATAAATTTTCGAAATTCTTGGAAAATCAACCTCTTTAATGTTCGAGTAACTTTAAAGTTTGTGCAGATTTTAGGAAATGTTAAATAATTAAGAATCTAATCCTTCTAGAATTTTACAGTTTTTAAAGATTTTCCATTTCATAGTATTTAGAAATTTGGGAAGTTTTATAGATTGTGCAGATAATAAAGATTCTAAAAATTCTAGAAAGTGTAGAAATTTTAGAGAATTGAGAATTTGAAACAATTGTAAAATTCTTAAGATTTAGGAAATGTTGAAGTCTAGAGATTCTAGTCAGTGTAGAATTTTACAGATTTTTAAGATTTACGTGTCATAGATTTTAAAAATTTGGGAAATTTTATAGGTTTTTAAAATTTTTAAGACTCTAAGACTTTCCATAAATTGTTGAGATCTTAGAGAATTTAGATTTTGAAGCAATTTTTCAACTTTTTACAATTGAGGAAATTTTATGGTCATGAATTTTGGACATTCTTGAAATAACAGACCTTTAA